ATGTTAACAACTGGAAAATAATTAAAAATGTACTTTGTAGACCACTTACTCTCATTAACATGCAAATAAGATATTACAAAATCATGTGAATCATACATCATCTCCACTCCCTTTTCTAGACAAAACATTCCGTAGATTTTTACTTTTATATAGTCATGAATATATGATAGTTTCCACGTCCAGCCTTACATGTAGCTGAGATAAATCACTTAGCACTGCAGAACACAATAGAACTTATCACATTTCAAATATTGAAATGAATAAGCACAAAGAAATGGCATGAAATAAAGTTGCATAAACTATTTTAATATGCATATGTAAAATATGTAATATAACTTTCTGCATTTTAAGAATGCTATATGTTTTAAGAACACTATAAATCATAGATACTTTTCATATTTTGCTTATGGTTTTATTAGAAATTCAAATTTTAAATTCTTTGAACTACATGAAATGCCAAATTAATTTAATATGCTAATGTATCCTGTTTATTGATTAGTTCATAACTTGAAGGGAACGTAATGAAAATATTTTATTTTATTCAGTTTTTAAATGCACTCGATCTTTCTGATGCCCACCTTGGCCAAGTTGCAGACACTTTAAACAGCTTCCGGTCATTGCAAAATAGTTTTTTAAAAAAATCCTCTTTCTAGGTACCAGAAGACTTAAATCCAAGGCGAGGTTCTATCTCTCACCCTCTCCCACTTTCTCTTTCGACCTTCCGGCGTCTTGGCAGGGTGGAGAGAGGGAAGATAAGTGGCATAAACGTGGCTGGTGCTATCACAGTTTTGCAGCCAAGGTTCTGTGTGATGACAGGCGTCTGACTATCCAGCTGCTGGCACTCTATCCTGGGCCCGTGCATGGGGGATCGGGAGACATTCTAAGCGCTTGAGGTTCCCGTTGTTCCTTAGCCTGTGTGACATTAGATGACTGACTGATTTAGGCTGCCTCTCACCTCCTACCTTCTGTGTGAAATTTCTACAGCTGTAATCACTTAACCTCTGGACAACTCATGCAGTTTGCCTGTCAAGGGCTAGGAAGTGCATTTTGCCCG